ATCTGGATACTTTCGTCTCTGTGCCACTTTGTATAAAGAATTCTTACAGCCATGTTCAAATGATTTATGTACATATTGTAGATGCAGTAGCATCAATTATAGAGCTACCCCTACCACTTAACTTGCAACATTCTGAGTGGCCATTCACTGGCCACTTAAGTTAACATCTGCTGCTTTGGTAGTCTAATATCCAAATAGAATGAAAAATCAAAAGGATAAAACTCCAGTAAGCTTGTTTACTTCAATAAGTAATGGTGGTGGTGGTGGTGGTGGTGGTGGTAGTGGCGGTGGTGGTGGTGGGGTGTGTGTGTGTGTGTGTGTGTGTGTGTGTGTGTGTGTGTTTTAAGTCTTAGTCTGCATTATCCAAAGTTATCTGTTTCTTATCCTTGCATAGCTAAAACATATTTGTCTTTTCTGCACATTTTTTTCCTAAATTAGAAATCAGACACAAGAAAAAATACAACACAGTCCACTATATACATTATTTAAGGGTGGTCCTGTTGTTTTACAGTTACTCTCAGTTTTCCAAACATAACATTAACTATATTTGATACAAATAATTTTTTGCAATGCTGGAAAGTTAACCGAGGCAAATATGAATAAAAATGCCTGTGAAATTACTGAATCTGTGTAACAAAACTAGTTTAATTAATGCTCTTCAAGATATAATTGGCAGTTGAATCATTGAACCATTGACTTTTAAGGCTACCAGTAAGATCGGAGACCAGTTTATCTAAACAATTTCAAATATTTCATCATTCTTTCTGATACCTTCTTTTCTTCTCCTTCTTTAGTCCTGCCTTTCGTTCATGCTCCCATTGTTTCTTGCTGATTCTTCATGAGATCCCTGCTGCTGCCCCAGTGCTCCTCCAGGTTCTTCCTCAACTGCCAAAATTGTCTTCTTTACTCATTACTTTGCCCATAGCGCTTATCTTATCCCCTGGTGACTTTACAATGTCCTGCATGTTGCAAACATCTTCTCACCTCCAGCTTCACAGGGCTCTGAGAGAGCCCTAGACATCCTCCCTCAAAGTCCCAATACATGCCTAAATCTTCTGTCACCCAAGTCTCCTCAAAGACCCTCTTATTGTAGTTAGTAAAGCTCTTGCCTTTGTTTCTGGGCTTTTCCCAAAGGGCCACTTACAACTAGGAACTCCCTTTTCTCCCAGAGCGCCTATCTGTGTCTTCTCCACCATGAAAGCCTCAGGGTAATGAATCCTTTTACATGGCAGCTAGGAGTTCTTGGACAGAGTGTTTCAAGAGGCTCAAGTGGAAGCCACAGGGTTTCCTAGGACCTAGACTGGGAATTTCCAGAACATCACTTCTGTAGTCTCTACTGGTTAAGCAAATCACTCAGACCAGCTAAGAATAAAGGTGGAGGAAATTAGATTCTACTTCTTGCTGGAAAGAATAGCAAAAATATGTAGCCATTTTTAAAAATTTGATTTAAAATAATTTTTATGAAGAGAAGTTTTATCTCTTCTAGACTATAATATCCAAAAGTAAAAGGCTAAATTACAATTTGACATTTGATAAATTATTTTTAATTACACAAAGGATTTTTCTGATTTTAGCAGATATATTGAAAATAAAGAAATTTATTCATTATGCATAAAATACATATTCACGTAATAAAATATTCAAACTTTTGGAAAAGTCCCATTGACACTTTCACATAACATGCTCAGCACATTTTTTTTTTAAGCTAAGGAGACTATGATCTCCTTGAGAACAGTGTATATTTCATATTTCATTTTTATATCCCTAGCAACTGTCTCAAAACCTGGTATATGGAATCTTCTCAATAAATGTCTGTTAAATTGAATTGAATTAGTCCTGAATTTTGAGTTTGACGTAGCCAATTGATTAACTTCTCTGAATGTGTTGTGAAGGAGAAGAAAATATAGCAAGAAAATCCAGCGTCATCAAGGGTGAATCCAACAGTACCAACTTGTGTATGTACCAGTTAATATGGTTCTAGGAAACACAGGTGATAGTGTTAGTAAATCTTTCTTCATGCATAGAATGTTCAAGACATCGTCCAGTTAGCATACGTTCATGTCTAAATTACTGCAAGAACTGGATAGCAAACATTTTGGATTACTTCTGATAAGCTCTGGTTATTTTGTACGAAAAGGGAGTAAATAATTCTATGAGGCCTATTTGGAGAAAAAGCAAGCTAATAAAAAGTCAACTGAAAGAACTGACTTTTATTTTTTTCCCAATTCACAGCTTTTAATGTGGCAGAGTAAATTAAAACATTCTTTAAATCTTGGATGGAATTTGCTTCTCACAGCTATGATCTTTTTTTTTCTTTGTTAATTTCATATTTTAAAAAAACTCTTGGCCCATAAAATCGTTTTATAAGCAGAGCCACCATTGTACCTTGTGTAATTTTAGAATCTTGGTGACTATCCTCTTGCCATCTCATTGGTTACAGAGTTTTGATTAGAAGGATGGGCATATTTTGTAATTTGTTTTTATCCTGAGGCAATTTTATGAGATTTCAAATTATACTACTTCCCAAATTTAATTCTATTTATTCTGCATGTATTAGGGAAAAAAAAATTACCGCTTATATTCAAAAGGCCTATCTACTTATTTTATCTATCTGTGTTGTTAGAATAATTCATTTAAAAATTCCTTTAAGCAATTGTTAGATTATATATCATATCTTTCAATTTTATCAATACTAATTGACAATACTTGGTTAAAGCCAATTTAAGGAACTAAAGTACAAATTATTGCTATAGGTTTCCAGGACATACTTTCCAAAGACTTTTCTGTTCCTGGTTTCCAGACTTGAAAACTAAGGCATAAGATTCTGGAAAAACTCACCAAGGTCATTTATGACAATAGCAGACCTGGAGAGATTATTACCATTCCATGATTCTTTCTCTTTCTAGTTCTTATGTCCACTTTTAAATACCTTTTTCAACATGAATTAATTATCAGGTTCTTATATTTAATACCATACACTATAGACTTCCCATTGGAAAGTCACTGTTTTATTGGCGATTTGTTTTCATTGCTAGCTATTTTCATATTTCTTGTATTTAGTTATAATTATTTCTTATTGTTAAATTATTCCTTTGCATATATACACATAAATTTCACATATATGTGGATTTTTTTTCAAATTTCACAATCCTTGTTCCCCCACTCCCACTCCCTAAAAACTTGCAAGTAACTTAGTTTTCTGCTGATTCTTTCCTTCCATTGGGCAACCATTTTATTTCACTGTTTTTTGAAGTGATGCAGTAAGAAAAAAATGGCTGCCTTTTGTTTACGTCCTTGTACATAAGCATGAGTGACATCATCACATATATTAACTAGGATATACATATCTTAAGAACCCAGAAGTATAAGCCAGAAACACTATATTTTCCTTTTTCTTTTAATGCCCTAAGGTTTTGCAGCTTTAGCATAGCTCTAATGCTGTGCTAAAAATGACATGAACATTTTGGGATAAATGCATTAAAATGATGTTATCTAAAACATATCTGAATATTTCTTTCAATGTGAAGAAAAACCCATCAAAAGATACTTATTTAAATTATAAATATTCTAGATTAATGCTAACCCTACAAATAATATTATAAAGAAAGCTATTAACTCATTGTATTTAAAAGCTAAGCTACTTAACCATACTTGCCTATTCTGGTTTTAAATTATTTTTTAAAATTTCAATTGACACACAAAAAATTTTGAGTTATAATATTTTTCCCCCAAAGAATTTCTTATTAATAGAAGGCTTAAGCAAAAATATATACATATATATGTATATTCACTTTTTAATTACTGAATTATTTATAAGTGCCATTAAATTACTGTATATCTAACTATTTAGAAAATTTATTTTTTCATCTGCATTTATGGTGCTTCTGACTTTTCCTTCTGTGCTCTTTGTTGCACTTTGCATGCATTTGTCATAAGATTTTCACTGAGACTTAAAAGCAACAAGCTTTCAAATACCATTTTAATTTAGACAGTCATTAAACAGTTAAGGAATTGATTTTTTAAAAAATAAGTTTCAATAGCTAAATAGTTCTTTATTTGGAAATCCACAATTTTTAGTTTTTGAGGAATAATTTTAGATATTTAAAAATATTTTTAGAAAGATAATCTGACCATAGACACATACACACACATATGTGTATATATATTAATGTAATATTTATGCATTAAAAAATTCCTATAAATGTTAAATAGTTTTCCCTGAAACTACATGTTAACACTAAAATCAGATAAGGTAAATCATATGCTTTATTAAGGTAAGCTCTCTAAAATAAGTTACTGCAATTTTTAAAATAAATATAAACATATGTCCTTTAGAACTTATATTGAAATCTGCATTGTTCCTTTAAGTCAGCTGTTCTAGGAATGTGTCATCTTTTGAAAAGATAAATTAATCATCTACTTCATTTATATACATCAACAAAAATGATTCACCCTCTCATCTACTTTATCAAAATTAATTAGGATATCTATTTTTATTCAAATATAGTATCTTTTAGTGACTGAGATTTTATTTGAGGACATTTTGAAGGAAACAGCAATAATCTTTTTATTTAAAAAAAAAAACACACACACAAGAAAAAGAAATGCCAGCAATCTAAAGGTTAAAACATATTGCCAAATCATTCAGTAGCGCAAAGCTCTTTAATAACATTTGTACAAAAGTACTTTCAGAAAGTATGAGATAGGAAATGGCTTTTTGCAAGTTCTCCTTCCTTAAATTATTATTCAGCCGCTTATTAAAATAAAATCTAGTTAACTTCTTTTGAGGCTTGCTCAAACATTTTCTATAATAATAAAAAAAAAATCTTGTGAAGGGATTTCCATAAGTTGTGCTGCATTAATGACTTAGAGCAGCTTCCTTATCTGTTATTCCTTCCTCCTAGTAGACCTCAGCTGATAAAAATAACCATAGACACAGTGAAGTCAGTGGCACGCCTGGCTCTCTCAGGCAAAACTCCATGTGATCACATATAGGCAGCCTCAGTGAGGCTGATGCCGTGCAGCAAGCAGTAGGTAATGAGTCTTTGTGCAGAGTGAAGCTCTTGTCGCTGAACAATAAAGCATATGGTACAAGCAATAAAACACAGGGCTGGGAAATTTAAGAAGATTCCTCTGAACCAGGAAGAACTGTGTCTTCGGTGATGCTGACACATATTATAAAATGATAATTTATTTTGGATCCTAATGAATAAAGAGTGCAAGGACTAAGACTACAGCTATTTGAACAGGTCGGTGATTTTATAAATTATTCCAATACTTCCTTGTGTTTGACTGGATTTAAATTAGAATGGGCTGGTTGCCTTAAACAAAAACTTTGCAAGATATTTGTAGTGTGTAATGTTAAGGATGCACTTGAATTGACCCAATGTGATTAAATTGTCGATGTAGTCAGATGTGACAGAGAAATGTTGATATCATTATATTAAACTGAAAAGTTATTTATTCTATTTAGAAATTTTATAGGTAAGAAAGAAATTCATCTAATAAATTTTAATCTTATATGTATGCAGAAATAATATAAAAGAGAGCACTACTAACAAATAGCTCAAATAAAAAGCTTCAAAATTATTTTTCCAGTACTAAAACAATCTGGTTGCAATAGTTTACATGTCTTATAAATTAGATAACACGTCTTTCAAAATTGGTTGATGTGTTTTAGTATACTGCAAAAGGAAGGCTTGGAATATTTAATTATTTGAATAAAAAATTAAAAACAAGGAAATTTTGAAATGTTAATAACACTATTAGAACAATCTATTTTATACTTTAGTAATACATATCTATATTTTTTTTAATGTTACATTTCTTTTAGCAAATGGAAAAGATTATTGCACAAAACCTTTTCTTTTATAAATATTATTCACTGATATTTGGAGAAAAACAAACTAGCTTAATTTTTAAAAGGAAAATATTATTTGATGATGCATATTTTCATTGGTTTACTATTTAGAAAGAATATATGTCTTTATGTATATTTATAAAATATGTATACACATGACCTTCTTTATGTAGAAGATAACCACTTCTTGCATTTATGAGCAATAGAGAAGTTTATGTTCCAAATAGAGAGATTGTTGTGTGTAGGAAAATAAGGAAAGAAATAACTAGCAAATAAAAGCACAACACTGAATATCTTTGCCAAAGACAGATAAGCATTACAGCAATATGAATCTTTAGATTTAAATACACAGTTTAACATTGCTCTACATTTTTACTGCTGTTTTGTTTTAAAGGCATCCTGGGACCTAAATTCTTTACAATTAATTTTTGGACACCACTTAGGATGACAGTCTCTAAGGCACTGGGGCACATTTAACATTTTACAGAATTACTATAGTGACCTCATGTATTTGTGTAGTGACTAATATAAATTTATGACTGTAAGATGCTGTTCAAACCACAGCAACAAAAAGAAATATCCCATGTGCCTGATTATACGTGCAATATGTATTTGAATTTAAAAAAAAAAAAAAAAAAAAAAAAAAGCTATGTTTCAAAAACAAGAGAAGTTAATGAAAATTTAAAATTGGCCTTCCACACGTATTTAAATGAAGCATTTGACTATTTAGGTTTCCTTGGTTACCACAGTCGCTGCTGACAGCTTCTTTCGGTGGGGAAGGGGTAAGCAGTGAGAATAGAACTCTAAAACAAAGCGTTAAAATCGTTTATCCATTAATAGACACGGGGGAATGTGATGCTGACAGCCCAGTAAAACCTGCGCCCACTCCCCATGGCGTATTCCTGCTCTCCCGTGATTCAGGTACCTTGGCAGAGCCGCAGTTCCACAATTCCTTACCCAGCATTCCGTTTCAGCTGCTGGAGGACTGCCTGAGCCTTATGCAAATGAGACCTGCTCGGAGGCTTTGACTGCAGAAGCGAGGGGAGGGGGGCAGAAGGGAGTTCAAAGGTCACAGGGCTGGTGGAAAGCTGGATCCGTTGCCTGAAAAAAATGTACTGGGATCCTCTGCAGCAGTGTTTTGCAGCAGTTAAATGAAGTATGCTGTATTTCTGAGAGTGAAGATTTTACATCGTGTGTGCCGTAGTCGTTTAAAGTGCACGCAGGTATGGTGACATTTCATGATGCGCCTGATTTTATTTCTATTAAAGACACTGATGAGCATTGGCTATTTTAATTCATTGTGGCAATTGACGGGGAGTTCCTGGTTTTCAGGATTCCCTTAACTAGTTTATTTTTTAATTTTCTTCTTCGTATTTTCTCTATTTGAAACATGGGTGTTTTGTTCCAATAGAATAATTTCATGTGAGAAAAAACTGGGTTTAGGCTTCTAAATTATTCATTTTCGGGGGTGAGTTCTTTATTGGAGACAGATATGTGAGTTGAAACATCTAGATAAATAACGAGGCTTACAACTTTTAGGGGATTTTCACATTTTTTTTTTTTTTAAGAAATGTATTTAAAATAAGATCCGAGTTCCTAGCCTAAGATTCTTGTGAGGTATCTGGTATTAAATAATGGAGTTCTTTTGTTCATATCTCATACAATCTCATAAGGACAATTTGAATCAGTATATTTTCATTCCATTTTTGAGAGAGGGTTTTGGTTTTGAGAGTTTTGTTTTGTATTTTATTGCCAAACATCTTCTTGGAATAATAATTTCTTACATTGGGGCTAGATCCTTTAAATCCTTCTTTGATTTTTCTAATTGTTATAAATTCTCTTTGGGACTTTTTGGATAATGCTATTTGAACTTAATGTGTTCAACTTCCTATGACTTTTCCTTTCAGAGAAGTCTGCATTGTAAAGTGAACCTTATAAATGTCACAGGCAGGGCAGAAGTCTTCCCATGCACTAAATATCACACTTTTGTAAAATGTGCGATTACATCATAGGAAAGTCTGTCCTGCACCAAACAAATGTGTACTCACTTTTATTGTTCATATTTTTTTTTATTTCTAAAACACATTTTCAAACAAATTTAATTAAAACAGTACAATCAAACTGTTTATTCCTGTCATTAAAGCATTTATCAATTCAACAGTTGCAATGTTGATTAAAAATATTATTTTCATTTGCATCAACTGTGCATCTGTCTTTATTACAGGTTGTATGTGTATGAAAATATGTTGGAAAAGATGAAGAGACAAAAATAGCTTTTAGCCATGAAATGACTGCTTTATGTTTTGATATTTGCATAAGATATTTAAAAATGAATTTTATGAAGCTTACATACAAACAGCTAGTACATATTTAAACTTAATTACTTTCTTTGCACTGAAAAGAGGGAGTTAATTTTATTATATGATTAAGATGAGGTACTTTGGCAACAATATTTTATTGTAAAAGAGAGGGGGGCTTGAGGAGGAACCAAAACAGGAGGATAGCCATTTAAAACAGTGAAGGACGGTTATTTCAAATATTTATGAAATTCACTTAGTGGTTATTCATGGGCAGATTCTCACCCTTTATCACTCTATGGGGACATTATGACATTTATCCAGGATCCTGAGATTAATTTAGGAAAAGGAATTTATGGTTTGTATGAGCTTTTTAAAAATTCAAAAACTGACATTTTCTTCTGAACTGTTTCTCTTTTGAAACTTTCAACCACGACTTTAGGTAACAGTGGTATCTTTTAAATTAGTTGTTCTATTTTTATGTTGATCAGACTATTCTGTCCTCTGGTCCAAACAATATTTATAGGCTTTGCTTATATATATATATATATATATATATAATGATTTTTATATACATGTATAAAACAATAAATGCATACATGTACACACATATATTTGTAACTATATATTATATAATATTGCATATATTATATATACATACATATACACACACATATATATATATTTCAGGCAGCCAAAGAAAATATTTTTAGTGGTGAATCATATTTAATCCAACAATTTTTTTCTTAAAAATGTTTAGTTTTAGCTTTAATTTAACAGTGCCTGTAGTTTGTGTCTACTAATCTCTGTGTGTGTTGTAGGCAGAGAGGGAGGAAGGAACCAAGTTTAATGTTCATTTAAGTAGTCCAGTACTTTTAACTTTGCAAATGCAACTGCTACCACAGAGCTTATTCTGAATATGGAAATAAAAACAGTGCGGGAAAAGAAGGAAAGCCCATGAAGATTCTTAGAGAAAAAGTGATAATAGACAAATGTGAAATAAAGAGAACTGTTGTGATTCTGTGAGCCACGAGAGAGCTATTTATGTCCTGCAGCTAATTTATGGCTTTGAATATCCTGGATAATTTATGTCTCTATGCAGATTCACTCAAAACTTTGAAGTCTTTTGCAATAGCTTGAGCCATACTATTTCCATACGAATCTCAGCAGCATATACACAGCAAGTTTTTGGTCTGGATATCTAAATGTATATAGAAAAAAATTTGTTTGTGTAAATACAATTCAAATCAAATTTGAGAAGTAAAGGAATAAATAGAGTAATCTAAAAACAAATCTTTAGGGATATGCACTTAGTCTACTTAAAGAGATGGTGTTATATCAGACTCCAAAGGAATCCTTAAGGATTTTTCAAAAATGAATTTCCTGCTCTTTGATTACCAGTCTGTCTTTGTCATCACTTGAAACTAGAGACCATATTGTAGGCTTGGAAAAGATTTTAGGGCAAACATGTTCTACTCAGTCTAGCAGCATGGAACATAGTCTAAAATCTACAAATAACTGTTGTCATCTCAAAATCCAGTGGGTAGGTTTTAATTTTTATTATTGCTATATTTGTTCTCCTGAACTTCTGGAGCCTATAGAACAGGAAAAAATAACAACAACAGAAAAACAAAAAAAAAACAAAAACAACAACAACAAAAAACAAAACTAAATTCCTGAAACATATAGAAGGAAAATCCTCAAAATAATTGAGTATTCAATATAATCATATTTCTCTATTCTAATAGTTTAAAAGAAACAATCAGAACAAACAATTGCTGTTTTTATTGCCTATTCTAGAATTTACATAAAATTCCATCCATTTTATTAAAAATATAAGAACAATAAAATTGTAAAATGATTTTAAAGATCTTATTAGACCTATGGTAATGCTGTAGTAATTCCTTTTCTAGGATAGTTGGAAAATAATCTGTATGATATAAACCAAGTTTCTAAATAGCTAAAGTTTATGACTATAAAGGTCAGGTTTTTTGCTTGTTTGTTTGTTTGAGATGGAGTCTCACTCTGTTGCCGAGCTAGAGTGGAGTTGCACAATTTCAGCTCACCGCAACCTCTGCCTCCCGGGTTCTAG